AATTTGTCCCGAAAAGTATACATTGTACAACAATTGTTCAAAATTTTGTGTTATAACTTGGAGCACAATGCATACCAAATCATTAATTTATTAAAATCAAATCTTTTTATTTTGAGACGGAAGAATATTATACTCCTTCCGTCCCATAATTATTGTCCACTTTGCCCAAAAAATTTTATCCCAAAATTATTGTCCAATTTGACTTTTTATGGACCAAGTTACACATTTGTCCTTAGTAAAAAACATTATCCATAAAATCTTAGTGGTTAAACAATTACTTATACAGGGGTATATCCGGTTGTTTAAGGTAAAATATAGTTAAGTTTGACCAAAAATAAAATCTTTCATTTTAGTAAAAGTGGACAATAATTATGGGACGGAGGGAGTAACAAAAAAGAAAATAGTAAACAGGGAGAAAAATTTTACTTGTCTCAGTGTGGCATTTTAGGGCCAAAGTGAGATGCAAACATTTTGGATAAACAACCTGAAAAAGCTTATGCTATTTAATTATTAGTATCAAACTCATCATCTAAACCTATGTTTTCAAAATCGGATCGGACCGGGCGGTCGAACCGGTTAGCCCGAAAATTAGAAACCTCACCGATTCGGTTTTTACAAAAATAAGATTTTATATAACCCGGTCAAACTCGGTCAAATCCAGACAAAACCGCGGTTTGACCGAAAATCGGTACCGGTTAAATCGGTTTTTACATATACTTCTAAAAAAATTAAATTTTAAATATTTTTTAATATTATTTTAATCGATTTTCACCAAATTCAAGGAACAAACTAATCGGTCAACCCGATAAACCCACCAATCCGGTCACGCTTACAGTTCACCTTTTTCGGTCCGGTTTTGAAAACATAGATCTAAACCACTACTTTCTGATACGTCCTTTTGCAAGTTGTATAATTATTTTTTTATCACCCATTTTTTTAACTTGTGATGAGGTGTTTACCTGCGTGTGCTTTTTTTTTTTTAAATTTTTTTTTAATATATGTTACATGTCACGAAAAATTATCCAATTTAGATTTTCATTTATAATAGTAAAAGTGAAAACTAAAATAGGAAAATAAACCTTTTTGTCTTGTTTTTCAATTTTTACAATCCACATTAAATTTTAAAATTTATACGAAAAATAGTATAATTTAAGTTTCCAACTTTGAACGGTCTAATATCAATCACCATTTTTGTCTTGTTCTTCAGCTTACAAGCCCAAAACAAAAAATCATTTAGGATTAAAGTCTGATTATGATTCGTATCCAGAAAAGTTTTAAAGTTTCTACAATCATTAGGAAATACAAAATGAAAACTGAAAATCTTCTTAGTTGAGAACTCCTAGTATTATAACATTCCTCCTACTTAGAATAGGGAAATTGTATTGGATTCATAATATGTTGTGCACAATATACAGACTATATATAGACAATAACAAACCCTAAACTAGGACATTATAGGAAATATACTAAATATTACAATACGCCCCCGCAAACTTACGGCGGAGAAGAGAGAAGCCGAAGTTTGTCCCGGAATCGAAAGAATAACTCTTTGGACAAGGGTTTTGTCAGAACATCAGCAACCTGATTAGCAGCAGAGATATAATTGACCGAAACAAACTTACGCAAAACATGATCTCGAACAAAGTGAAAATCAACCTCAACATGTCTTGTACGAGCATGGAACACAGGATTGACAGCAAGGAAAACTGCACTACTGTTATCACACCAAATAGAGGGAGGGCGATGTAAAGAAACGCCTAACTCGGACAACAGATGACACACCCAATGCAGTTCAACACAGACATTAGCAACCGCACGAAACTCAGCCTTAGTAGATGAGCGAGCCACAGTGGGCTGCTTCCTAGATGCCCAAGCAATGAGATAGGTCCCAAATAAATGAGAAAACCAGTAGTAGAACAACGATCATCCGGACAACCAGCCCAGTCAGCATCACTAAACGCAGTAAGAGTACCCAAATCTGTAGGATGCAGAACTAAACAGCAATCAACGGTACCACGAAGATAGCGAAGAACCCGTTTGAGAGCCTGAAAATGAGAAGCGCGAGGCTGATGCATGAACTGACAAAGCTTATTAACCGCAAAGGAGATATCTGGACGAGTGAGAGTGGTATACTGCAGACTGCCACACAGCCGACGATAAGTAGTCGCATCATCAGGAGACAACAGAGTACCATCTAAACGGGACAACACAACATTAGCCTGCAAAGGAGTGGAAATAGGTTTGCAAGTATGCATATTTGCAAGTCGTAGCAAATCAGTGACATACTTGCGCTGAGAGAGAAGCAAATCCTTGGAAGTACGACGAACCTCGACCCCAAGAAAGTAACTCAACGGACCTAGATCCCGAAGTGAAAACTCCTTAGCAAAACAAGAGATAAAATGCTGGACCAAACCAGAAGTGCTGCCTGTAAGAATAATGTCATCCACATAGACCAGCAACAAACACAACTGAGACCCACGACGATAGACAAAGAGGGAAGGATCACAACGAGACTCCACAAAACCCAAGGTAAGCAGAAATGCTGCCAGCCGAGAATACCAGGCCCGAGGAGCTTGCTTAAGACCATATAATGACTTATGCAGTTTACATACATAATGGGGACGCACCGGATCAACAAACCCCTGTGGCTGAACCATATACACGGTCTCACTTAGAAAACCATTAAGAAAGGCATTACTGACATCAAGCTGAGAAATGGACCATCCACGAGCCAAGGCAACAGTCAAAACTGAGCGAATGGTGACCGGCTTAACAACCGGACTAAATGTGTCAGTGTAATCAACCCCAAAAGACTGAGTAAAACCTCGAGCCACCAACCGAGCCTTATACCGCTCAATGGAGCCATCAGCATGGGTCTTAATCTTATAGAGCCATCGATTGCCGACAACATTGCCGGAGGAAGGAGGGGGAACTAAAGTCCATGTGTTATTTTTGAGGAGGGCGGAAATTTCATCCTTCATGGCATTCTGCCACTGAGGAAAGGATTTGGCTTGGGTGAAGGAAGTAGGAGCTGTACATAAAGCTGGGGAAACAGAGGTAAGATGAGCCGAGGGATCAAAGATTTTCTTGGGCTTGGGTTGTGGACGAAGTGTCATTGAGTGCTGACGGGAAGAAGGAGGAGGAGGTGGCGGCGGAGGACTGGAATCAGATGATGAAGAACTGGATGCAGGAGAACTAGCTAGAGATGATGAGTCGGGAGGGATAGGAGGAGATGAACGAACTGGTGTACTAGAAGGAGACGAAGAGGATGTAGAAGACGACGCAAGCATACCAGGAGAACTGGTTACACGCAACCAAGGGGTAGCAGGAGACTCTGGCAGCGAAGAAGGAGAACTAGAAATAGGATGTTTAAAGGGAAAGAGTTTCTCATCAAACTCAACATGACGAGCAACATAAAGACGGTTATGGACCACATCAAAACAGCGATAACCAAGATGAGATGGAGAATACCCAAGAAAGACACACTGAGTAGAACGAAAGGAGAATTTATGTTTATTATAAAGGCGAAGAAGAGGATAGACAGCGCAACCAGAGACACGAAGAAAGGTATAATCAGGTGGCTGGTGATATAGTGTAGTGAAGGGTAGGTGACCTTGAAGAGGTTTACTAGGGTGGCGATTAATCAAAAATACAGCAGTTTCAAAAGCAAAATCCCAAAACCGAAAGGGGGTACTGGAATGGCCAAGGAGAGCAAGTCCTATGTCGACAATGTGACAAATTTTGCGTTCAGCAGTGCCATTCTGCTCATGAGTGTGTGGGCACGCTAAACGATGAACAATACCGACATCCTTAAAGAAAGAATTGAGAGAACAAAATTCACCACCCCAATCAGAGTTAACACTTTTAATGGTAGTGCCAAATTGATTTTCTATGAGAGCTTTGAATTGCTTGAAAACATGGACAACATCACTTTTATACTTAATGGGATAAATCCACGTGAATAAAGAGAAGTCATCAATAAAAAGCACAAAGTAGCGATAACCATTGAATGACAAAATAGGAGCAGGGCCCCAAACATCAGTGTGAATTAAATCAAGAGGTTTAGAGCTACGATGAAAAGTAGAAGGTAAACTAACCCTATGCAACTTCCCTAAACAACACGCCTCACATTTATCAGTGGACGTTGACACAGAGGAATGAGGGAGTTGAAACTGCCTAACCAAAGTACGAAGAGTGACATTATTAGGGTGCCCTAAACAAGCATGCCATTGACCTAAAGAGACAAGATAAGCTGCTGGAGATAAGGAACCACGAGCAGGAAGATCTAAGTGATAGAGACCATTATCAGCCCGACCGCGGAGGAGGAGTTCCTAGGTTGAAAGATCCTTGACACAACAAGAGTTCGAATAAAATTCAAAGAAACAGTGATTATCACGGGTAAATTTTTGAACAGATAACAGAGGCTTAGTAAGAGAAGGAGCATGCAAGACACGATTTAAATAAAGAGGACAAGAAAACGATGGCACAACAGATTGACCAACATGCTGAATAGGTAAAGCATCTCCATTACCAACTTAAATATGATCCGTACCAGTATAATCAATGGAGATACTGAGAGAGGGCAAATCTGGCGTGACATGATCGGTAGCACCAGTGTCCGGATGCCAGGGAGTGACAGAAGGGGCAGAGGGATTGCGCACGGCCAAAGAAGAAAAACCGGCGGCGGGAAGAGAAAAGAAAGGAGAGAGAGAGAAAAAAAAAATTGGGTTGTTATAAACCTAGCTCTGATACCAACTTAGAATAGGGAAATTGTATTGGATTCATAATATGTTGTTGACAATATACAGACTATATATAGACAATAACAAACCATAAACTAGGACATTCTAAGAAATATACTAAATATTACAATACTCCTAAAAGAAATAAACAAATTACTTATTGTTCTGAAACTAAATATAGCTAATAACAAACTTGTCTCTTTTTTTTTTTTTTTTTGAGACAGATGAGAATATCAATGAAACTGATTATTTTGCTTGTCAGCCGAACTTCTTCAGCTTTGCAAGCTCAATGGACTTTTTGTACATCTCGGAAAAGGACATTGGCTCATCCAAAACCGCATTTTCACCTTCCTCAATTTTCAATGGATATACAATTGCCTCCGGTGCTGGATACTGAAGTGTGGCTATAGACAACCTGCTGCAGTTTGAGTTCACTACCGCCTGGTGAATTGCGTTTTTGAACCTCCCATTGCTCAGATACTGCCCCAAACCATACAAATAAGAAGAAGAAGAAGAAAAACAGAAAGAAAGGAGAAAGAGAATTCTTCGAGTTTTTTATTTTCATTGAGCTTTCCTATGTAGAAGTTTAAAGCAAGGATTAAAAACAATATTGGTATGTAGTCCCTTGGGAAATAATGGTTTTGTGACAATTTGATAAAAGAGAAAAATACCTATTGTTTTTAAAATATTGACGAGTCTGACGCCTAAAAATCTTCACACTCGTACGATACCGGAATCCGAATAACATAGTCTAGTGTGTTTGTTATTCATTCACTAATTGATACGGTGACTTAATATACATGGCGTTGGCTACTAGCATGCAATTAATGTAATTTTGCCTTTGTTACCATCATTTCATTCTGCACCTCACTCAATTAACCGCCATCCCAAACGAAATATTTATCCAAACAAAAATACGTAAACATATCTTTATCTCCCCTAAAAGACGTACAATATCTGCATTATATATATTATTCTTCCTATGGCACTTTTCTTTCTTTTTTCTTTTTATGTTTTTAAAGACAACCATCCATGTGGATCTCACATTTATAAACATATGAAAAAAGAAACCATGCCCATCCCTGTATTTCTAAAAACAATCCACTAAGAATTTGACGAGTTAAAGATCCAATCAAGAATCCAATCAAGATCCAATCAAGAATTTGATGATTAAATAAAAAATTCACCAAAGAATCTGATCACCAATCAAGAATCCATTTCTCTTTCCTTCTCTACTCCTAACATGACTGTATATGATCATTAATGTAATACGCAATGATCTAATGATAACATTATATAATTGAAAAGAAACTTATTATATTCATAGCATTTATTTAAACCTTAAGCTACTTTTTTTTTTAAAAAAAAGGAATGCATAAAACAAAAGAGTATTGAATCTTATTACAATGGAAACTATTATTATAAGACCGCCATAACAAATTGAATTTATAAAAATTCTTAAAAATAGTATAGACAGACAAAACAAATAAAGGTAAGAGAGAGACATACGTGTCCATGATCACCAAGGTTAACAACGAAAGCACCTTTAACGGGCCGAACAGTGATCCAAGTTTTCCCACCATCTTTAGTCACCTGAAGCCCACCGACTTGATCTTGCCACAAAATGGTAAGAGTTCCTGGATCAGTGTGGCGTTTAATGCCCAATGTGAGGTTGGGCTGTGAACATTTGGGGTAAAAATTAACTATCACTATTTGCTCCATTTCCATACAAGCTTTAGCAATGGCTTCTTTATCCAACTCCATTGCCTCTGATAAAACCTCCATCAACTTCCGAGCTAACTCCATTAATTTCTCACTGTAAATTTCTGTCACGTCCTTCCATCCTTGTGGTTTATCTGGCCATTTTGAGTAATCTCTCGTCCCAATTGGATAGGTATAATAACTTAAAGCCTCACGCCAATTTTGCACTGCTTGTCCCTACAAAAAATAATGCAATGTTGAGTGACTTGTGTGACACACAGAAAATGGCTATCAGCATACTATTATAAATCACTGTCTCTACCGTTACTTACACGAAAATGGCTAGAAACAAAGAACCCGCCTTTGTTGCCGCCTGACATTTCGAATCGGAGCTTACCTTGAGGGGGAAGAGCGAAAAATGCATTAGAAAGTCGGACCATATATGAGATGAGTTCATCATCAACCCCATGATCAACAACCTGAAAAACCCCCCAATCTTCAAGTGCTTCAGCCATCTTCGTACGAATCTCAGCGCGTTGACCATCATCACCATCAAGACCCTTTAATGAAATAATTGGGATTTCATCGCTGAATTGATTGTGAGCAACTTTTGGACGCTCATCTTCATCCCTGATGAATCTCGATTCCACTGTTTTCTCTTCTGCCAAAGATGTGATAAGTGTTGAAGAGGCTGCAGAAGCCATTAACTTTTCCCCTGTTTTCACCTCTGAGACAGACTTCAAGTTTCATGGGTCAAAACTTCTCTTATTACGTATTTTACTATTCTTAATGTAGTGGTTGTTGGAATCTTTATTAGCTGGATGTTTTGGATGTTTATGCTTTGTTATTATATTAATATGAACATACCTAAACAACCATTTTCTTATTTTCTTTAGCTTCTTGTAAATCTGTCATCGAAAGAAAAAATGAAAGTAGGCCATGAGTCAAAAGTGACCCGAAATACAACCCACACGCATATTCATTTCCGGCAAAGCTGCAATGGTTTTGGAATCGGCTGTTTCACTTCCAGGAAGGAAACGAGGAAACTATTTCATACAGTTGCTTTCTGTAGAGAATAAAAGGAAGGAAAGTATATTATACAATTATCAGTACAGAACTATGAAAAATTGAAAATGATAAAAGACAATAAATAGAACACTTGATTGATGTGGTGTTGGCATCTATACAAGTTTGATTTGGTAATTTCATGTCCTTTTAGCTTTCACTTTCTTGTTGTATCTGCAAATTTCAACTTGCAGTCGCAGAACTATATGAATTTGTAGCAATTAGAAGTAATGAAAGATAGCAGACTGCATATGCAAGATTTGTTGACCAAAGTTGGCAGGATTTGCCGCGCATTCAGTTAATGGCACTCTTGATGTGTACTCGAAAATTCATTGAAGATCAAGCTTGCTACACAACTTTGCAATATCTACTTGATCATTCTATCAAAATCATGATTGGTAAGTACCTAATGAAAGGATATCAATCATCTTGCGAGCAGTTCCTTGTAGGAGACCACCGATCGATTTCACGAGAGGGTCTTCTACGTCGGTGGTAACTTTCTCTATCCAAGGAACCCCTATCATCTTCTGAGGAATGATCACGATTATGTGACCTCTTCTCCTCGTGTCGAGAATGTCCACTACTCTTGTGGCGCTTGCTAGACCGATCTGACCTGTCCCTTGAACTCCTCCTCCGGGGGCGGCTTGGCGATCTTTCCTTCCGATAAGAATCTCTACTTTCTTCTTCGTGTTTGTGGTCATCTTGACGATCAATAGAAGGCCGCTTCTTACGTGGTGGGGATGGAATCTTCATTAATCAAGTGAAAACTTTACGGTCTCCAAGTTTTTGGGAAACAACCAAGTGTAATGCAATGTGCTGGTATGAACATTTTTGCTCAATCCATCAAAACCTGAGGTTTAGCACACTGTTACCTGAAAGCGGGACATATATCTTCCTTCTGGCGGAGCTGGTATACCCAACCTTTTCAAGTCATCATAAGGAATTTGCCGCCTGCATTAACCATAAAAGAACATGTCAGATTTCTGGAAATAACTAAATCACACTATTTTCTCGTGGGCAGGTTTTAGTGTTTTACTGGTCCAATTCTATGTTTAAGGTTTTAGTGTTTTACTGGTCCAATTCTATGTTTAAGATTTTGAAATGTTCTTGCTGAAAAGACAGTTCTGAGTCACTCTATTAGCCTCTTCAGGAAGTCAATTACAGTTTAGCATAGCAATGGCATAGGGCAGAACTGCAGAAGAACTAATTCTATATCACCAAACATATATAATTGAAATCGATGGAACAACCAATTTAATCATACAAATTAAATCGCACATCAGCTTCACATCACCGGGAGACAAAAACTCAACATTTCTTTACCAAAGTGACAAACTAAAAGAAACATAGGAACCGTTATGTATTCCTGGTTGAGATATCTGGATAATAAGGCATAGACAGGTTATTATGCAGGTATCAAGCTTGAGCATTCAACTAATGTGAAGAATTCTTCGCTCAAAGATCCATGAACTTCTACACGACAAAGTCAAATGGGATCGATTGTTATACTGTATCCTGAAAGTGATTGGGATCTGTTAAGATTTCAGGCAGGATAGAGTCATCGTATTGATTCTAGTCAACTGATGAGAGTCAAGACTAATCTACCCTTCATATAGACTTGTATTTCAGGATCAAACTAAAAGGAAGAGTTACGAAGAGCTGGATCCTTCAACCATACAAGGAAAAGAAAAAGCAGTCTTTTCTATTTCTTCATCTACTTTGCATTTTTAATGAGATGAAAGTGGAGAATTCGATTAGATGAAGAAGAAAAGAAGGGAACGTAAATTCACAATATATTGCATAGTTTTAATGATTCCTAATTGCAAACAAAACACTTAACGCAGAGACTTCGAGTGAAAGAAATATATTTTTTCTTTAAAGAAATTAGTTTGTCTTAGACATAATAACAATGACATCAAATACATTTCACACATAGAATGCAACCCTAAGCTCTGATGCATTCTCTCGCTTGGTGTTAAAAGTGAAAAGTCGCTACCGTAAGGGCTACTTTCTTTTTAAGTTGCACAAACATATCTGATGATTCAGTAAAATTTTATTCAAACTCATCATATAAACTGGAACAATCTTTGAGATCTTCCTACAGTAGCCAGAATGTGTGTAGACATGTCACCTTTAGCAGTCAAATGTCTTCGTAAAAAATATTTAAGTTTCATTTATACATATATTAGAGATGGGAAATGGTTTCAACCTAGTAAACCATGAAGATCTATTAGAGGTTTGTGAGATGTGGAACTATTTAGCAAAATGTTATAGGGTTCGAAAAAATTTCAGTCTGAAAGAGTTAATGGTTTGACATAAAATCAAATTAATTTCTTGACTCTAGAGACACCGTTCCCCACCATGTGTTGCAGCCAGTACTGTGCCAACATAATTTCTAGACATGCTTCTTTACTAGTACCACATCTTCCTATTCCCTTAAATTCCAGTCAATGAAAATTTTGTTTTACAACAAGACAATCACATTTTATCTAACATCACACGCAGGAACTCCAACTTAGCAGAAACCTATAATTAGGTGGTAAAAAAAAGTAGCATAGTGAGGTTGCCAAACACTATGCATAAACTGAATACTATAACTTTGGAGGACTACTAGGAACTATAAAATCCTTCTCCTGGTAGAACTTTCTTCCCACTTATTTGCAACACTATCATTTTCTGAATGTCAAGAATAAGCCAATAACAACTCTAAATATTTGATTCTCTTTACATCCATCTTTTGCTATCAGTTAAGAACCAAAAGATGAAACGTTAAAAGGTCCTGCAACTGCTTCTAATGTTTACCATTGTGGCCTCCAATTCTTTTAACAAATTGTTCAATTTAATTAGGACTATTCAATGAAGAAAGAAATTAGCACATACAAAGGAGCTCGAAATGGTCTTTCTCGCCCTCCAAAGCGAAGCTGCCCAGACTCTTTCTTGCCACCGAGACCTCCTCCTGTGAGAACAAGAAGACAGAATCTTAGAACTAATAAGAACCCTCATAAGGTTTAAAAAACGGGCAGTTGACAAACCTAATCTTCTTGGGATCCATCCAGGCATCAGCTGCTGCCTGTTGTAATCAACAATAATCTCGGAATCATCGATAAAGGTATGATGAGCATCCTACAAAAGAAAGCAGAATATGTAGTTTTATTTCATAAGTTTGGAGGTATTGTACAGCAAACTAGTGTTTTAGACTGCTGTAGAAACCTTAACTCCAGAAACATCAATGCCATATACAGAAATTTCTTGTTCCACTGGTTGAGAGAACCAATAGAAACTAAAAAATAATATAAGCTCCAGATGCTGGCTAGTAGCTAACAGGTCAAGATAGAAGCATCTCCATTAATCTATTTCATCTCGTGTCACTGATATCAATGACCGAAAATGCAAGATATTAGCAACTCTCAGCGCCATTAACCAATAACAGGTTTCTGTATGCTGTCATAGACATGGTTACTAATAGTCCATACAAATATTTCATAGCGTGGCAAAACAATGTCATAGCTTAATAATCTTAAGCTCGTATGTTACAATTTTCTAGTCAAACATTCCTTGTACTTAATTATATTTATGAATAATAAGACTGGAACTCAACAGAAATTTATATGCAGATATTCTCTTAAAAAAAAATAAAAAATTGCAGCTATGTTAAAATGGAAAATTCTGTGTAAGATTTTTTATGCAAAAAAAAACATAAAAAAAATATTACACTGGAGAACCAGGTAACAGAATGAACCTAAAACCTTTCCATTTATTCATCATCTGTGCACTAGTAATTAAGATTAATGTGACTAACAGGCCACTGGGAATCTAAAAATGTCCCATTCATTCATCATTATTAGTATTGGATTATCCATTACAGGCCATTAAGAATCTAAAAACTACTTGGCGCAATAACACTCAACTAAGTCCCAACCAAGGAGAAGTTGTCATTCAAAAGAGCTACAGCTGGCCATAAAGAGACTTTTCTTTTCTGTTTGTGTTTGTTAGGCAGTGGCAGAGGCACTAAGTTGAAGTCAGTCAGTCAAAAAACTTTTCGAATCTAGTTCAAGCAAAATAAAGTATTACATTGGAATAGAACAGAAAGTATTACATTGTATTCATAAAGCTAAGAGAGCTCACAAACACAATTAAAAGAACAGAAAAACGTTGCGAAAGCAATAGGAATTGATGAAATTAGCTAACCATATATGCTCGCCGCATTTCTCTCTCTGTTTCAAATTCTACAAATGCATATCCACGAGAAGCACCAGTGGCTGTAAAGTGAGAAGACAAAGTATTCATTTGCATATATACAGACTAAAGTTCAAACAGAAACACTATTTCTAATAAATGTTTCAATTGTAGATGATAACAAGATATATGGCAAGACATGGTGAAAAACAAAGAAATAGGTGTTCCCTACTTTCTTCCATAAACTACTGTCCACGTGATGGAATTATCACATAGCAAAAAGAAACATTGATACACACTAGTATTATTGTCCAACCATTTTCCATCTACACTGATTTGTCTTTAATGAAACCAACATATCATTTGCAAGGTACATGAATTGAGGGAGGAAACAAGTTATCCACATGACAAGATATCATTTTACTTTCTAGTACCGACCATATACAAAAAACTATGAGGTTCAAAAATTCTTTTTTTAATAGATTCTGCACCACAACCACGAACTATACTATGCTTTTTTTGGCCAAGGTTCATTGGAAATTCTCGATAAAAATCTTCAAACAAGAGTTCTGTAAAAACTAGAACTTATTTGTGAAGAATATAACCCAAATAAAGGCATACCAATGTGTCTGACCAATCTCAAGTTCTTCACCCTTCCGTATTTGCTCATAGCCTGAGGAAAAACGCGAAACCCAAATCCCGAATTCAAAATACTGAGCAAAAGGAATCATCTTCACAAGAAACATCTACGAAAAACCAACTGGAAATTAGAGAACAACAAAGTACTCAATAAGAAAAAAAAAAATAAGGCACCTGCCGAAGAGTTTCTTCAGTGGTGAAGTGGGACAGTCGACCCACAAAAATTGTACAGTAGGGATCACCAATAACCTTCGGGTCACCAAAAGGGTCGTCTAAAAATTCCATTAAAACCAGAAATCCAGATTGAAAACTGCTTGACAAAAGCTATACAAGAACAAAAACCAGAGTAAAATGGAAGAAAAGTATAGAGAAGGGAAAAAAGAATTACATAGCCCGGAACTGGAGCAAAGCAGAGCTCGACAAACAGCATTATCGTGAGGATGAATGTCAGTTCCATCAATACTTCCAGCTTGAATTGGATGATACGATTCTGCGTAGAATACTGAATTGATACTTTTGCTGCCATAAGTATTGCTCATCGTTTTTTTCTCTCCTCCTCAAGGGAATAAACAGAGTTTATGGAGAAGGAGAGTAAATTTATAGCTGTTTATATTTAAGGGTCTGTTTACAATTTCGTACATTATTAAGGGTCGATTTTATAATATTAAACTGATCCAATTACCCCCCTCCAATCTTCTTGACTTCTTCTGTCTGTCACCCCTTCCTTTGTTTCTCTCTCACACAGTCACACAGTGATTTTCATAAAACTCAGCTCAACCCAGACGGCCAGAATCTTCTATTAATCTCTCTGAACCTCCTGATTCATTCAACACCAATCATCATCTGAAACCAATTCTTTTTCTTTTTCCCTACACGATTTCTTGAGTTTCTCATCTGTGTTGGGCTCCGATTCTCTGTTCTTGTTGTTGGAGATAAAGAGGGAAAGATTTATTCCAAAAAATAATCCAACAAAATGGGGAAGAATCAAGCTTACAAAGCTATGCAGAGAGCAAGGCTAGGGGCCAATGGGGCTGGTCCTGAAGAGGTCAATGATGGCATGGTTCGTACCCTTCCGTTCTCCCTATATCCCTTTTTTTGTCTTTTGTCCTTTAATTTTTCTTTTCTTTCAAATTAATTAGATTTGCTTCTCTTCTGGTGAAGTTGGAATTGATTATTTTGTTATTGCTAACTCTAACTAGGCTTCTTTGTTCTTAATGTCATCTGGGATGATTATAAAGTTTGCGTTTTTGCCAAGAGATTTTCTACCTGACGAGTATTGAATAATTGATCAATTGGATATCTATAATTTGTTGGTTGTAATAGTTGTAATGAATTGTGATCCAGTAACTATCATGAACATCGATCGTTTTAGGTTTTCTTTTGTATTTATTTTTTGTAATTAGACCTCAACCCTCATTTTGGGATGTCTAAATGTGTAATTCCTCTTTCACTCCATTCTTATTTCATAAATTTTTAGGGTTCAAATCAGTGAACCAAGGAGTTCATAGGTTCATTGAAGTTGTAGTTCGTTTTAAAGAACATGTTAATAATATTGTTTGAAACTACTAACAATGGAGGCTGTTGTCTCTGGAGCATAACTTTTTGCATCTTAAATGAGCTTTTAGGTTTTTGTATGTACTACTCTACCTGGGCAAGTCCTATATATTTTGTGCCTGCAACTTTTGTTGTTTAAGACTTGCTTCTCTTGCTCTATTTTTTCTTATTCTCCTAGATAGTAACTTTGAGTGGACTAGGCGATATTTCTGTGCATATTTTGATGAGGACTGTCGCAGGTGGATGGTTCTTTTCATTCACCAGAGTGGCATGCTGCACGTCTGGCAAGCCTCAATAAATCACATACTGTGACTTGGGAAGAGTTCAAAAAGAAGCAGAAGGTACTCTGCTCCTTGTTGCTTTGATTATTTTGGGTTACTATGAAGGTTTCTAAAAACTGCTTTCATTGTTGCATGAAAACTTCATTCCTATGAAAGAAAAGCACTTGTTGCTATGATTATTTTAGTTTACTTTAAAGGTAGCTAAAAACAGCTTTTATTGTTGCATGAAAACTTCGTTCCTGCAAAAGAAAAACACTTGAATGGACCTTTTGTAGTAAGCCAAGTCATACAATGGCATTTCGTGTGAGACTTGTTTTTTTTTAAAAGTGAGTTTAGATTGATGTATCTGTAGTTTGAATCATGAGGTACAGAATCAGGAACCTTTAGATGCATCTTTGCTTTGTTCACCTATCTTTATGATGCTGACTTATTGCTGAAATATTTGCCTGCTATACTGATTAGTGATGGCCCTTCAAATGTCGGACCTGTCGAAACTGGTATAGGTTTGGGTTACTTGCAAGGACCATTGTATCTGAGTTCTACATCTGCCTTAACTATTGTTTGATTCATAAGTCTGAGTCTATCTGTTCGTTGTGTAAAAGCTGTGATTTATTATTGTTAATCAGGCAAAGGCTAATGTCAAATTTCAAAAAAGTGTGCGATTGTATCAGCTGGTGATGTAAGCCTAAGCCTGGGAGGGATTATGTCATTCTTTTATTCACGTTGTTACCAGGATGGGGAAATTATTTATAGAAAAAAATCTTGCTATATTTTATCACTTCTTTGAAAACTGGAGTTGGATGTTTTGTATTCAGTACTAATAATTAGATTGTCCTATCAACTTAGAACTGACCTTCACCTGAGTTTTCCCCTACTGTTTTTTTTTCCCTAATTGCACTCTGTTTAGTAATAATCATCAACGGAAAGGTATTTGTTTTGTGGATGACTTCTGATTTGTTGTCTTTATTTTTGTAAATTGCACCCTTTTGTTGGTTTCTTATGGGATATTTGTTAGGAAGAAGAGATGAGAAAGGGGGAGTTAGAAGCAGATAAAGATAAAATGATGCGGGAATATAGAGCTCAATTGGATGCAGAACGGGCATTAAAACTAGCTAAAGGAAGAAATCATTCGAGCAGTAAATCTTGTCGAAAGGGTAATGTTTCTTTTATAAGAATAGACAAATACTTTTCTTGTTACACAGGATTCTCATTCCCTTTATTTTTCCTCTTTTTTTGCTCAGATAAGAAAGAGAAAGATAAGGATTCAAAGAAGCGTAGTAGCAGAAGCAAGAAGAGAAAGGTACACCTAATTAGTTTTTCCTTGGTGTTATTGAGAAATTTATGTTCTCCTTGTGCTTATAGACTTATATTACTAAAAGATTCCTTGAAAAAATCCACAATATCATTTGGAGTGAGCTTATCCATTTGTACATCCAAGTCCAACAAAAGACTTGAGGAGGTGTTGTCTTCTATGAAATTTATTCTGGGCTGTAGACAGTTTATATCAGCAGCTTATACTTGTTCGGGATGAGTTTGGATGTTTACCTCGGTAGGCTAGGTACCTTTGCCACTTTTCATTTTTTTAAGTACCTGAATCTATTGTTATGGGGGCGATGATAGAAGGGCTTCCTAAAATTCCCATTGACGAGAATCTACTAGGAGGAGATCTTTTTGATGTTCTTCATTAGAACCATATATTTTTATGTCATTCAACATAAAACATATGTGAGGGATAAAAAATAAGCCCATTTATTTCTCCTGTTCGTGTCTTTCCGGAGATAATTAGTTAGAAGATTTCCGCAGCTACTCTTTAGAAAGTAGTTCATTGAGGTCCCGTTATTTATGAGTTTATCAGTAATTGGAGCTTAAGAACCTTTTTGGTAGCTTTTACTGTCCTTTGATTACTACTTCCAGTCTCCACATAGAAATTTCTATGCAGCCTAATAAAATGTCTCCTGGTCCTGCTGAGTTCATTTCAAGAGTTTAATTAGTTTTGATGAAATTATATTTACTTTGGAATGTGCGTGGTGTCTGCAAATGGACCAAATGTACACCCTTATCTTAGATTTCTTGTAAGGAGCTCATTTCATGGATCCTGCTTCTTTGCAAAAAACAAAGAAAATGCGTCGTATTTTGTGTTCATGTCTCATCATTGGTGCTTTTCAATCTAGCATTCTTTTGTACTTCTGAAGTTCTTGCATTTACAGTCGATATGGTTTTGTTGTTCTTGTGTTGATATTTGGCCGTCTAAATGTAGCAACAAAACCTGCACAAATCAGATTTTGTCTTTGCCGTCCTCAGAACTTTTTTGTTTGGGTCACTGAATAGATAGTATTTGCCGGTAGTTTTATGTCTATGCTTGAAATACATACAACACTACAGAGCGTGAAACCAATATTGCTTATTGCATGGAAATATCATTTTGATTGAAACTTATGGCCGCTAATCTATTCTAAGCACATTCCATCGCCATATATTTTTAAAACATCTGACTTTTTAATTCATTTTCTACATTTGTCGAAGTGTGGCTAATACTTAGCTAACATTATTTTGGTTTATTCATGGTTAGCATTCAAAGAAATATTCAGACTCCAGCTCTTCAAGTTCGTCATCGGATTCTTCAAGCAGTGATGATGAGTCAAGAGGATCAAAGTCAAAATCTAAGAGAAGGAAGAAAGAAAGAAAACACAGATCAAGATCTAAGCATTCTAGTAGTGATAGCGAACCGGAGGGCCCTTTGCCACTTTCCAGATTTTTTGGGAACGTCAAAAGCTGAATTTGCTGAATGTGTATTATCATCATTGCTTATAACAGCAGTTGAAGAGATTCTTACTAAATCAACAGGATCTAGGAGTGCAGTTTTTGTAACTGTATCTATATTCTATGTTGGTGATACGTTAAATTGGTTCTGTAATTTATTATGGATACATCTTGATGATTGTTCATTAAAGATATGAATGTTAGAGATCTGAATGATCTTGAAAGACCTCCAATTTTAGAACCTGCTTAATTTTGTGGTATGCTCTTCTGATGGAATAAGGTATTAATCATGCCTAGAAATAACTTTTAGACAATTATTTTAGGATGGGAGAATATAACGTACTCCGTCTGTCTCATAATTATTATCTAGTATGTATTTTTATTTGTAGTTCGAATTGTACTAAAAGTTAAATCTCAAAGTGAATAATAATTTTGGTACAGAGGGAGTATATATTTTCAAACACATTCTGGGTAGAAAAAAAAGCAATCAAGAAAGGAAAAACCACAGATTCAGATACATTAAAAACTTGAAATCAACCTGAGTACAGACAAAAATGAAACCCACCCCTTACAACAACATGGCAACCCGCCATCAAATATCTTAACAAAACCAATCAGTTCTTGATTGGATCATATATACATGAAAAAGGTTAAAATAAAATGAAAAAAAAAGGTAAAAAGAAGAAAGAAAAATGATAAAAATCTTCAAGTCACACTAGTTAACGGAACAATAATACAGAAAGTCTTAATCACATTTAGTGATATTCTGGGTTAAATGCCATAGCTTCCCTATAAATAAGCTCCTTCATCTGATCCTCAGTCAAGGCATGCTGCTCAAAGTCAAAGCTAAATGGAGTCATGCAAACCGGCTCGTCACTGATATCGTGGAGTGAGTTGAGGTATGGGTGTGCCAATGCATCTTCAACTGATAAAACACAGAATAAAGGGGATGTAAGAGCAAGAAACAAATCTCCCAGAGAGCAGTGAGAATTAGAAGGCAAAGGAAAACTATGCTAGATGAAGCTTAGTCTTATCCAGATGAAAACAATCAAAGACTTCAGCATCGGTACAGTTATATGATGTTTTAATGCCTTCCCAGGGACTAGAAAGCTTTTGAAAATAGGAGGAAGGCGCAACAACATGCGTAACTTTGAAATGCCGAACAGGTATTTAACTTCTACACCAGTTTGACTAAAATGTAGGTATATTATACACTTTTTGAGATCATACACCCTTTTCCTGAGTAGTATACTCCACTAGTTTGAAAACCATGGTCACTGAGACTGGTGCAGCGATATATTCCAGATGGTAGTTCTTACTGGATAATGCAAAGGTCATAATAGAAAAGTGTGTTACAAGTCCTGGAAGTCCTTCAAGACCACATAAACTTCTATTCAGTTCCTTTCCACCTTATGATGTTCCAAGTTTCTTTTTGCTTTTCTCCTTTTACTTATGTGTGGTCAAAGAATAAAAAAATAATTGAATAGTTGTAGTGCAAAACTACACAAAAGAAAGTGAACATTCAAAACAAAACTCTACAGAGGTGATAATAGAAGTTACTGCATTATGAAGACAGTATTCCTGAATGGTGATAGTCAGTGACAAATGAATAACAAACCATAAGTAAGAAATAACCTCATACGACCAAAACGAACAAGGAACCATATGACCAAAGGACATTCAAATATACTAAGCAGATATTAGTGACACAATTGACGACCAGACGGCCACTTCTTTGTGAATTCCTACCGAATCATATGAGTGGTGAAATCTAATCATGAAGGCCAGGAAGAGAATTTCATGGGAAGGTCTTTCAAGACAACGGAATCCTTACCAGTAATCCTCTGTCTTGGATCAAATGTCAACATTTTCTCAACTAGGTCAATGGCAGCAGGATGTACTTGTGGAAACTTCTCAGCAAAAGACTGCCGGCGATATAGAGGAAGTTGCCTGATGTATCGTTTAGCGTTTTCATTCAAAAAGCCCAGATCAGCCTCTGATGGAGTGCCAATCAACTGCAAAAGCAAAGTTTTGTAGCATGCTTATCTGAGAAATGATGTCTGAGCTACTCTATAACAGGTGAAGATAAATGAAAGAGAGAATTCTAAATGAACTTCACAGATATCTATGGTGTTTGTGTGTATCATATTTTGACATTAACTACTCTCATTTTTATTTTATGCACCATAAAAAAATTATAACACCGAGTACAAGAGTACAAGAAACAGTAAATTTAGATGCTTCTATGTTCTATACCAAACACAACACAATCATTTCTTTTCAAAGCATTTTTTGTGTCAGCTCTTCTGCAATGGCTTTCTTCCATCACAATGGCAGTCCACTTGAATATAATGCGTCTTAAAGCTTGCCGCAGGAAAGTGTTTTGATAGCATAACTTAGAATCTTGTTCCACGTCTCTTAATAAAGTAATCTTTCATTTTTCGGTCTGGTAAACCTTCCATCAGTCAATACTCTCACAATTAAACAACTTCACATATTTTACTTCTGACCTAAATTTAGCTAATTATCAGTATCCTTAGAAACAATATACAGGTAGCCTGAATACCGTAGAAAATTTACTAAATAACTAATGATCAAATGAGCAAAATAAAGAGTAAATGCCATTATCGCCAGTCGTCACAATTTACCAGTGAGTGTACAAAGCTTTTTATCCAACATAACTACAGAAAGTAAAGGCCAGTTTAGACAGATGGACCCCTGATTGAGGCACTCATTAGTGGTCCACAGAAAGTAAGCACCGAGTACTATTAGAGCTATTAGAGGGTGAGGAGAATCAGAAACATTCCTTGCCAAATATCACTAGCCTTCCTCAGTAACCTAGTCGCACTAGGCTCTGAAGCTAGCTTTAGAGGTTCCCCCTGATTCCAGAATGGCACACTTCTAGGAGTCAATAGGAAGAAACAGCTTGGAGTACACATGCTCTTGTTGAAGAAGCAAGGACTTAACACAAAAGCAAAGACAAGCCACAATATGACATGCATAATCCCACATGAAATACTGAGGGAAGGTCTTTAGTTCATAAAATTCACAATTGCCTTTCCTCAAACAACCAAAAATCCACTTAGCATGCATTTTGAAGCAAAATATTTTAGTTCAGTAACCAAGAAGTGGGGTTTTGAATCTGACACGGGTACGCCGGAGCACCTCAAAGAGGTAGTCTATTCGAAAGTAATGGAACTCCAAACCATGTGAAACTCCATAACCACAAAAACTTCCTCTCCTTTCATTTGAACTTAAGACAGGAACAACTAATAAAATAAACTTGCGATTAGAGATACCTCCATAAGAAGCCGGAGCTGATGCACATGATCTCTACCCGGAAACAGAGGTTTTCTGTCCATCAACTCCATAAAAATGCAACCGACTGACCACACATCAATAGCTGTAGTGTAGTCAGAAGAATTCAACAACAGCTCTGGCGCTCGATACCATCTTGTAACAACATACTCAGTCATAAAATCTGTTTCAGATGTCACACGAGCTAATCCGAAATCACATATCTTTAGATCACAGTTTGCATTTAGAAGGAGATTGCTAGGCTTCAAATCTCTGTGCAAAACATTTGCAGAATGAATGTATTTCAATCCACGGAGAATCTGATACAAGAAATACTGCACAAAGAAAGAAAAGTTTTTTTGATATCAGATGTAACCATTCTTGCATCCTCAATGCTAAAAAGAACAACATATTAAGTTTGATGCTACATAATTTGTGTCAGTGGAGCTATGCTAAGGTTAAAAGCAAATTACCAACAGTGAAAGACCTAAATATATAGGGAACTGATTATTAGATTGAACAGACATAACTGCTTTGCATGAACTTTGTTATGTAAGCAAATCATATTATAGTTCAGCCAAATGGCGGACGTTACAGACTTGATATCAGTTGGTCCCATAACCCAGAATATCAGAGTGCAATCAGAATGGGCGTTTAACCGTACAAGTGGATGCATTAGTTTCTTCCTTAAGAATGATTCAGCAGAACTATGTGTTCCTAAGAGGAATGAGAAGTTCAATAACGAACCTGGCAATGCTCTTCTGATAGTGCTTGATTAGAACGAATAATTTGATGGAGATCAGTATCCATAAGCTCATATGCAATATAAACATCATTAAACAATTCCCTTTGAGGTGGTGGTATTATATCCCTAATAGCAACAACCTGCGGGGCAAAAATGACGACCATTAAGCACTATAAGACACAAAAAGATGAGATACTTGTCTTTAAGTAAACATAATCACAATACCTATGATAACTAAATCGAGAAAGAGAACACTTTTTAGACACATGAAGAATGGAAACAAAGTAACAGAGAAAGTAAGGGTAACTTTCCTGCTACCAGAACAAGACTATAGTTAACTTCCCTTATTCATCAGAAAGTGCTAGTGCAAACTTACAGACCGGAGTGGCAATGCATGGAAATACAGCCACTAATCAAGAAATGGATAGATTTATAGCGAGTCAACAAGTAGGGGTGAATAAAATATAATGTTCATAGTTTAAAAATTTAGGTTGGCTGAAATAGACTAACATACAGAAGAATCACGCTGCAAAGGAGAAAGATAAAGAACTAATTGACAAGCAAATATTATAACATCAACATGAGCTAAGCAGAAGAGAAATACTGCAGATAGAATACAACCGACAATAATCTTCAATATAGAGCAAATCGATCTATAAATTACAAGCCAGGACATGAAGCAAAAACATAAACAAGTTTATTCTGATGTATTTCTTGAAACCACATTCAAATAGTTGAAGTAATTTCAACTGAATGATCCCGTATAGAAGACACCTACGAACAGTAGTAAGGAAAAAAGGAAGATAACAGTTTGCAGATACATTTCAAAAAATCTGAGAAATGTATTCCCTCAAATCACCCAAGCATCTACCATGAGGAGCTCACCTATTTAGATACAGGAAACTCCTATCTACAAACACCTTATGAACAACACCCATACAGCAGAGCATTTGAAAGTTTTAAGACTTCTTTGAGCAAATCATAATCATTATCTGCGAGGCCCTTAAAAGTTCTATATATATACCATTTGACAACCATGTATGAGGCACAATAACTACCAAAGAAGACCACAATGTTAATAGTAGCCTTGATTAAGTTTCTCCCTTCCAACATAGAAATACATATCTCTCCATTTAGAAAAATCTTTAAAGTTAAAGTAGTAAGATATTTATATTCATTTCAATATTCATTGAAAAGAATAACTGAGCTCAACAGCCCATAAATTCACAAAGAGGAGCAATTCAAAGATAAACATTAGCTATACAAACAGCATCTCAATGCAATCACCAGATCATACAGTCTCATCCCCAAGCTCACCATAAAGCTCAACTACCAAGGACGTTTATATACACCATCAGTGCATATGACACTCACAGTACTGAGATACTGAATATTTAAATCCTAACATATCATGAAGTTGAGAAGTGTCAGAGTAAAAATCCAGACCCATTCACAAAAAATATCATAATAAGAGCTCACATTACATTAAGCTAGAAGATTGGTTCTATGTTCGCATTTTGCAATAAATAAAGTAAACCACACAAGACATCAGCAATCTGATTTTTTTTTTTTTTTTTTTAAAAAAGGGGCCAATATTTGAATCCATTGTTCAATCTTTCATAAAATTCAAGTGCACTTCCACACAAAGCAGACCATGTAACTTCGATTACCAAATTATCCTCAAAATCTAATGATGCAAACTACAGAATGATAAACTTACTCAACAAATACATCATACGTTGTCAGGCAAATAAAAATAGACAAAAAAGAAAAGAAAAAGAAATGACTCACTGACGTTTTCATGATCCATATGCCGAAGAAGTTTAATCTCACGCAACGTTCTCTTCGCATCGATCTTATTGTCAAACGCATTCGCTATTTTCTTCAGAGCTACGTGCTCATTCGTCTCCGAATTCAATGCGGAGCTAAAAAATAAAAGGCCATGAATACAGAATAAAACAATACAGGGATAACAATAAAGATATGATCGAAGGGGGCGGCGAAATCACCAGACGATGCCGTAGGCGCCTTTGCCGATAGGCATAATCGGCGGTTTGTATTTGGCCGTGACTTCGAAGATATTCCCGAAGATATTGTACTGAATAAACCGTCCGCCGTGGCTCAGCACGGCGGGAATATTCTCAACTCCCGCCGCCGCGTACGGCTGCTGCTGAGACGGCTGAGGAGGTGGCGCCGCCGACGCATCCGTCATCACGGCGTCCGAGGGCTGAGCTGAATCTTCCATTTCTAAATAATTATTTTATTTTCTCTCTTTTTTTTGCACACTCTAATCTATTAATCGAGTTAAAAATGAGGAAATAAAAATGAAAAATTAAATTAAAAAATAAGAAAAATGAATTAATAAAGTATCAAAAATTAATTAATCCCTCTCCCTTGGTGGAGGAGGAAAGCCAAAAAGCTTTGCTGGTATTGGTTTTGTTTTTGACCTTTGAAGATGAGAGTAGCTCTGTTTTACTCTGTATGCGTGAGGCTATTTATATATGATGAAGACTACCACTGTGTGACTGTGTGAGAGAGAGTTTTTTCTCTACAATTGGCAAGTGGCAACTAATTGGGTCCCACTCCGTTATCATTTTTATCAGAGTTCACTGCATGTAATGTAATGTAACTATGTAAGAGTAAACATCACCCAGTTTTACTGTTTTCCAAAGCTGTAGAAATCAAACCCCACGTAATCTTTTATAAAAGTTCATAATTTTTCTTGAAACACTCATTTTAATTTTCCTTTCATTTTCTTTTTTCATTATCGCTTTGACTGTAAGATGTAAATTACATTTTTCTTGTCGATAATTTAGTAAGGTTCATATATATGATACCATTAAATAGTTTGTCGTATCTAGAAATTCAAATTTATATCCATTTATAAAAGTAACTAATAAGACCTTTTTTTGGATGATAAAAGTAACTAATAACAACTTAAATTTTATTTTCTCCCAAAAAAATCATAATGAATCATGCTAGTGACTTATTAGTATGAAGTGGAAAGGTGAAGAGGTAATATGTTACAAATGATCTTTTAGGTGTATAATATGCCGAGACGCCGAGTAATAATTTAGGGGTTAATCGTAAATTATTCAGTATTGAAATTATATAACTTTATTTAGGAGAATATTCTCGATAATTAGTTGGATTGTTCTTACTTCTCAAGGGATCATTTTTAATTCTAAGTTCAATCATATTGTTTTAAAGAAATGATATATATGTAGATGCTATCCTTCTGTACACAATTTCTTTCTTTTTCTCATTTATTGTGCGCTTTCTCATTATCAATTGCTATCTTTCTCTATAGTATGAAGCACTTATTGTAGAAATCGAACAACGATCTATTGGTTAAGGTAGATGGACTTTAATTTAGAAAACAACTAAGGTTCGATTCTGTTGGACCGATTTTAACACATCCGGTCCACACGAGTTGGGTCGATCACAGCAAAGTGTTAAGTCAACAAATATTAATTGGCCCGCGGGAATTAGCGAAACTGAAGATAGGACGGCGGTCTACAATTCGAATTCAACAAGCATTCGTCGACAACATAATCCAAGTCAGAGAAGGATTCTTATTGCAACATCAGTCTTTATCGGATTCGACTTTGGCTGCAACACAACTAGGGTTGACCGGAGATGTATAAAAAGCAATGAAAAACGAGACGGCAACACACACAATTCATCATACAGAATCAAATATTTTAGTCTTCTTTATAGCTTTTTGCCATTTATTTTCTTTCAAGCTTTCTTGCATTTCTTTACAAATTGTATTGATTAGCATAAATTTCTATATGTTTTCTCGCTATTCACAGCCTATACGTTCTTTATCGAATCAATAAAACTGGCCTTTGTGGCCGGTTTATTCATCTTTTTGGAGTTCTTCTATTATTTCGTCAATAAAAGTTCTTATATTCGAACCAGTTTTGTGTCGAAGGTATTGGCATTTTGTGACGATCTTAACGTTTGGACTCCGCATTTTGAGAATATCACATAATCGTTTGAGATTAGTTTGAGTCAGATTGGATCTCACTTTCAAATATAATTTTGACTCAAACATAAAAATTTGACACGCCCGGTGGAACCGATTTGCGTGTTCCAGGCATTGTGCGAAAGAAAGAATGATGTCGATGCCTCAATCATCAACACCTATACAATCAGTGGGTCAAGTGTCAACGCCAATTCAAACTTCTGCGTCAGGAGGAAGTTCAGTACCAATGAGTACTCCTGTTCGTGTTTTAGCAATTGAGTCATATTCAACAGCAGTGACTGATCAATCAACCGATTTTGAATGGCAGTCTAATCAGCAGTGGTTTACTATGTACATATTGGGTCAGGCCTTTTTAGCGAAAGGTCTAGCTTTCTGGGATCTTTTAGGAGCCCAGGTTTCCAGATTCTAGCGTTTCATAGTCCGGTGTTTCAAAACCCAGTATTTCCTAATCAAGGGCAGGTAGAACAGACTCCACCAACAACACCAGAATTCACGCAGCAAAGATTCATGGCATTGGAACAACAACTGGCCGCACAAGCTACTACAACAGCACGATTGGAACAAGTGTTACATTTGGTAAGCCAATAGAATGTAAACGCAGATGCGGGAAGTTCTGGTGTTAGTGGATCAACATTAACCGGCAACAGTACGGTTGTAGACACTGTACATGTGGAAACACCTCCGTTTAATATGGTTAATAATCCATTATACAATGCTATATTCCAGTCATCTGCAAGAAATACCCCAGTACAACATGTTGGCATGGGATTGAACAATAATGGATCACAAACTACTAGAAATGCTATAGGATCTAGATCACATAGTTGGTATTATCCGATAATTCCAAGTCAACCAGCATTCTTGGAACACTGTTGGGGCAACGGATACCTCAACCTAGTTATCATGTGTCTTGGTCAATTAGTCCAGAAGTGCAGTATTCTGGAACCTGCAACAATAAAAATGATGCTATGAGAAATGTTCAGATATCAAACCAGTTTCAGCCGCAGAATACAGCATTTCAGGTGCATACACCACCAGGGCAGGTTCATCAGGGACCAACAATGATACCGTCACAGTTAATTGGACAAGAGGTTGTTCCCCAAATAGCATAAGGTTCGCAAGGAAATTCAGGATCTTCGCTTCAAGGTCCTACTGGTGTAGGAGCAAATCAAGGTCCTTTTATTAAAGTTGCAGAACATGTAGGTCCGAATATTCAAGGCAGCAATGACCGCCGTTTTATAATGTATCAAAATCGGGTCACACTGCCAGTATCAGGCAATACTACTGCAAATTTGGTTGATCCACATATACCCCAAGGGTCTGGTGTAGTAGTTGGTAATCCACATACCATTCCACCACATTTGATGTTGGAGGAAAATAGAGAGGAACAACAGTAGATGGAATATGAGGCAAATCAGATCATGAACCGAAATAGGGCACAAGCCGTCGGCCATCCTTACGGGAACCAACCACTTGGTAATGGTAATCGTCAGCATTTGCAACAACCACGACTTTTCGGTCAAAGGGGTGGTCGTCAACGAGCGGATCTTGGAAATGATTTTCGACAAGAGCCAGATGCAGTAGCAAATGCTAACCAGCAACATGATTTTGAAGTAGAAGTTGAACAAACTTTGAATGCTGAGGCAATGTTTACAAGGATGGTAGAAGACATGGTACGTAAGGAATTAGGGACTGAGATTCCGGAAGTGCCAGGGAAACCGTATCCTAAATTTGTCAAATGGGAACTATTGCCGAGAAATTTCAAGATTCCAGATTTTCAATAATTTTCAGGCGAAGATGACAAGCGGCCTGACGATCACATAAGCCTCTTTGAGTTGCAATGTGGCTCAGTAAGCAACAATGCATTAATCAAGTTGCGTTTGTTTTCTTATCCTTTGTAGGGAACTGCTTTCGATTGGTACCAGTCATTAGCACCAGGTTCAATTCCATCATGGGAAGTTCAATAGAGAGAGTTTTTGTCATACTTCTGCAGGGATACTGCATGGTTATAAATTGTTGATTCGTCAGAGATTCGGCAAAAGTTAGGGGAAACTGCAGAAACATATTTGATTCGGTTCCGCCGGATGTATGCCAAAATACCTGACAAATATGAAGAACCAGCTATTGTCAAGATGGCCATTGTAGGAATCCAGGATTTCAAGGCCAAATTAGCTGTTGCACCACATTCTATCCATTCTTTGAACAATTTGGCAGATATTGTCCGGCGGTGTGAAAAGGTAATTAAAGATAAGCGAGAGAAGAATCCAGGGAAAGCAAAGCAATAGTTTAACAAGAATCTAGTTGTGGAAGTAAATCAAAATCATTGGACACATGACGATGAGGATGATGAGTATAATGTCAATGCTGCTGAAATCGTCAATGTTCATAATTATACATGTGAAGCATTGCGTCGGCCTGATATGCCACATGCTTATAACACTCTACTAGATGAGAACCGACCGGAAATGGATGTATGAGAACCGACTACTATACACTATAGTAGTCGGTTAGGTCACGTTTTAACAGTGAATTATTTTGAACTCTATTAAATTTGACTATCTATATGAGAACCGACCAGAAATGGATGTATGAGAGACATTTAGAAGGAGTAGGTCCATAAATCCAAGTTTTGTTGTTGTAGTTAAGTCATTCATTGAATATGCTTGTTAAAAACCTGCTTTTATGGACATTGATAAGATATAGTGTCCTTGTAGTAGATGTACAAGCAAAAGATATGTTTTGCCCGATGAAACTAAATTACACCTTCTTAAGAAGGGTTTCATTGACGACTATGATGATTGGGTTTGCTATGGAGAAGAACCAAGGGGTGAGACTTCATCGCAAACTCATCACAATGAGGGAAATCTTTTGGGATCAAACACATATCGAGACATAGTCATAGATGTGATTGGTCCAAGCTTTGATCCACACTTTGGGGAAAGTGGTGGTAATGAAGAACCCCTCGACCCAAAAACTCAAAGATTGTATAACTTGATCCAAAAGGACGATAAACCCTTATATCTGGGATGTTCAAAAGTCTCGCAATTGTCACATGTGACTTGATTGTTGAATATCAAGTCACAAAACGGATTGTCTGAGAAAGCTTATGATGATATCTTAGAGTTATTCAAGGATTCCATTTCCCCCGAAAATAAATTTGTCGATAGCTTTTATGAAATAAAAAAGTTAGCTTCCGATTTGGGTTTACTGTGTGAGAAAATCCATTGTTGAGTTAATGGATGTATGTTATTTTGGGGTGAGAACATAAGCCTTATAAATTGCACAATCTGTGGCCATGCTCTGTATAAACCGCGAAATGAAGGTGCTAAGAGAAGAAAAACGGGAAAGTTGTATAAAATCATGCATTATTTTCTTCTTACACCTAGGCTTCAAAGGTTGTATGCTTGCGAAACCACCGCAAACATATGCGGTGGCATAAAGACCATGATAAACAAGGTGTTATGCGTCATCCTTCGGATGGCAAGGCATGGAAGCAGTTTGATACTATATATAGTTCTTTTGCATTGGAATCGAGAAATGTAAGACTCGGCTTATGCACGGATGGGTTTCTACCATTTGGCCAATCGGGGAAGCAATATTCTTGTTGGCTAGTGACTGTTACTTCATACAATTTGCCACCATGGATGTGCATGGAAGAAGAATATATGTTTTTAACCATTACTGTGACGGGTTCAAAAAATCAGAAACAAAAGATAGATGTTTATTTGAAACATTTGATTGCGGAATTGTTAGCTCTTGGGGAAGTTCCCACGTATGACGTTTCTACCAAAAAGAATTTTCATATAAGAGCCGGACTTTTGTGGACTATTGGTGATTTCACTTGGGCCGATAACCATTCATGGGTCCGATAATATTCCTTTATGGGTCATTGGGCTAGCTAAAGCCTTAACAATGGCCCAAGCCCATCTTGAGAAAGGAATATTCTCAGAGAATATTCCCCTCACCTTATCTATATATACCCCATTTTTGGTGGTGGAAAGTAAGCTCACTATCACTCTCTTCCTAGCTCACATGCTTTATTTCTATCACTCCTCAGACTAACTTGCTCGTCGGAGTGCTAACCCTTGTTTTGCAGGTCTCAGGTTCATAGACACCGTTGACTCTCGTCTTAACGGATTTCACCCTCGACAAGTGGTGCCGACTGTGGGGACTGTCAATGTCCTCAATTGAAGGTGAATCTTGAGTCTTGGTGTCTATAGATCTTGCCTGAGAAAAAAGGGTTGTGAGCTGCAAATGTGGGTTTCTGAATCTCACCTACCATTCTGGTTTTTGGGGAGTTAGAGTTGCATCCTTAAAAGTTAATCAGGCAAGCTCTTGGGCAAAAACCCTTTTGTCTGCATAAAGAGTAGAAGCTTTCTGGGGCAGGGTTTTTGACCTCATTGTTTCAATTTTAATTAAAATTAATCAAACCCCATTTGTGAGGAGTTTTGCTCTTTGAGCTACTGGGGGTGGGTTCGGCCGCTTTCTTTCCTTTTTCTTGAAGGCCAAGATTGACGTCCACCGCCAAATCTTGTCAGCTTTTGCCATCATTAAATCTGAAGCCATCGTTGGTAGTAGCGGCTTTAGGCCCCATGGCCAACTCTCTTTCTTGCCTAGAGCAGCCGGACGGACCGAGGCCATTAATTTCAAGGCCAAAAGTGAATGCTATTTTGGCTCCAAAATAGCAGCTTCGCAAATAAAAACATGGCGTAGTTCGTCGTCATCTTCGGCAGCCGCGACCCAATCCGTGGTCGGTCACAAGCAAGATCAAAGTCGGAAGTCGCCTCGAACATTAACCGTCGGCCGAAGCTTGGTCTCAAATCCACCATCGGATCATTATGGGAGTCCGGTTGCGAATGTGGCGTCGGTCGATCTTCTTTCTTGCCTAAGAAGCAGCAACCGTCGGATATTACTTTATTGCCCACATCCGATCTTGAGGTTATCATTGTGCAGCTTCATCATCGACCGCCAGCCTTAATCGTCCTCCTGAAGCCATTAGCTGTGGCCGAAGCTTTCATTGACAAATAACTTAGTCTTCGGCTTCGGCTTCGGCTTCGGCTTCTTCCAGGTCATGCTAAGTTGCAGCAGTCATCAACGTCCGATCTCAAGTTCAAAGCCGGGATCGGGGGGAGCTTTGAAGCTGGCAGCCACGGTCCAGATCGAAGTCATCGTCGGCAGCGGCAACTTCGGGTCACCATCGGCCAAGGAAACTCCAGGGCATCCTTAGTGCCGTCGGCCATGACTCTCCGTCACTTTCAATAACCTAGGTCAACTTTGGTGTAGAACCATAAGCTTCCTTGTCTAAAGTCATCATCGGTGGAAGCTTAATCCCGAAGTTACCATCCCAAGCCGCCATCGGCCTCCGATCCAAAGCCATCGTTGGCAACCAGGTGCGAAGCAGCCATTGACCTCCGATCCAAAGTCATCGTCGGCCGTTTTCTTGGTGGATTCATCCGGAACGGAGCTCTGCCATCAGCAGCAGTTACCATGGCGTCCGGAACTGACTCCTACTTCAGCCTTCGTCGGGTTCAAAGCCGAGAACGGGGGAGCTTCGAATCTTTAACAAAACCATGTCCGGTCAACCACAAAACCAACGGTGAGCTTTCACCTTCTTCAACAAATCCGAAGCCACCTTCGAACGATCACCAGCGTCGACCCCGAGCCCGGCGTCCGACCCCGAGCACGGTGAGCTTCGAACGATCACCTCCGAAGTTGTCATCGGTCCCAGCAACCAAGCTCCAACAAGGTTTGAATCGCCATCTTCGTCCTCGATTTTGGCTTCGGTTTCTGCCTTCGGGTTTGATTTCACCTCAGAGTCGGCATCGATTCAGGGCGGTTGGACGAGCTTCGGGGTCGAACGATTGGGGTCGGGCGTCCAGCCTCGGCTGATTTCAATGGAGCCACTCTCACCCTCGATCCGGGAAGCAACACTTTGGACTGGAGAAAGCTTCGGGCGGGAAAAGGCTACAAAGTGTAGAAATTTCAAAAGTTTTGCAATTGGGTCCCTTTTCTTCCAATTATTTACAAATCGACCCCAAAGTCTTTGAAATTGTCAAATCGGCCCCAAAGTCTTTGAAATTGTCAAATCGACCCTAAAGTTTCAAAATGATACAATCAGACCCCTAACAAAGATTTGGAGGTCCATCTGGGAGCTTTATAAGCCAATTGCAAGGATCTCGTGCATCATTAGGAGCTCTCCAAGGCTATAGCCCTACACCACAACGAAGATAAGTGTTCTTAACCACTTTATCACCATTCGATGGTCAATTTTCTTAAATAATTTTATTTGGGGGGAGGAGTTGGATATGTGATTATACATATTTCCTCCTTGCTACTCGATTATAAATTCAATCAAATGCTTAAAATGACATAGCCAATATAAATACACCATTATGGCATGACATATAGAGAATAGAGCTATCATAGTTCATACACTCTTTGTGCTTTCGAATGTGGTTCGTACTTGACTATGTGCTATGCGCTCCCTTACCCTCGGAAATATGAGGAAAAGGAAATAAAACTATTTAAGAAAACATATACTTGTTCTTGGGTAATATATCTATGCTTGGTGGTTTGAAAAGGTGGATTGTTTTTTGAAAGTTTGGTCCGAAGACGATCTACCTTTCACTTTGAAATACCATTCTGAAAATTAGATATAATATCATTTCCAAAGTTTTGAGTTATTGAACGGGTGGCACATCTTTTATCTTGAACACTCGCATTCGTGTTGTAAACAAAGATGTAATCCTTCTCTCGAAACTTTGCTAACAAGTGTACGTGGTTAGTATATAACATACTCTTAATTGCCTTTGTGTGTACTAAGAACAAAGGAATAACCCCTTTGCAAAATCTGGACGCCATGCAGGGCTTCACAAATCCGAGGACGTCTACATGTCCGAGGATGCCATCCCAGTCTGTGGATGCCTACACGTCCGAAGATGAAGGCTCGTCAGTTTGAGGACGAAGGCCATCCGTTCGAGGACGAAGGCGCCAGAAAGTCAGCGAAGCCCCTCTCGATCCCCGTGGTCGCTAGCACTGTACAGCCTCCGTGGCCTCCGGCATTCCTACGGCCTCCACGGTCTGGGAGCTTTTATAAGCCCGTATCGATCCCCGTGGTCGACGGCACTGTACGGCCTCCGCGGCCTCCGGCATTCCTACGGCTTCTACGGTCTGGGAGCTTTTATAAACCCGTCTCGATCCCCGTGGTCGATGGCACTGTACGGCTTCCGCGGCCTACGGCATTCCTACGGCCTCCGCGGTCCGGGAGCTTTTATAAGCCCGTCTC